AAAAATAAAATAAATTATAAAATTATATTATTTAATATAAAAGAAATCTAACAAGATCTATTTTGACTACTTTTTATTGTTTAGAATTTTTATTCATATTTTATATTATAAGTCCTTTATAGTCATTTTACACAACCTCTCATATTAAAAAGCACTTCTAATAGTTTTACAGCCAAACACTCAACTGTTTTTTTTTTTAAATACTTATCTAAAAGCTCCAACCAAAAGTTGCTTCTGCAAAAGCTACAGCAGGCCAAACTAAGTTAGACAAAGAGATGAAAAGTTGGGGACTGGGGAGAGACTTTGGTTTGGACTTAGTGATGTTTATGTTCTTTTAACGAGTTGGATTCGGAGATAGGTTCATTTGTTAAAATTAATGTTCAACTTCATTTTGATCGATTTGTAAGAAAAAAAAATTAGAATTCGTGGATGTATGTTTGTCGTGTCCAAAAGTTTGAGCTCTTACTTGAATTAAAAGTCTAAAATGCGATTAATATCTAACATCTTACCTAGATTGAACCTTGGAGTATAACTATATTAAGAAAAACAAATTAACAATGATTCAACAAAAGAGTAAGTCCCATTTCTAGCCTAGTTTCGTTGGGAATTGAATGGTAAAGAGAGAGGAGGTCAGCTTCTTTGAGGAGATTCAGTCCAAGCATGAATTGAACCAGAAGTAACTTGAGAGGGGAGAAGCCTGGATCCAGGTGCATCAAGGCTCGAGCTAACCGGTGGCGAATCTAGAAGATTAGCGGCATCCCTGGTGTTGAAGTTCGGATTCATCCTCCGACGAACAAGTCAAATGTGATGAATCCAAGATGATAGTGTGCGGCGGAGAGGATATCTTTTACTTTATCATATAAGTTGGTTTTATAATGGGAGATAGAGGGTTTCACTTTCAACGGTTATAAAATTTCCTTAGACGCGAGGATGGAAGTTGCTACACCTTTGTGCCTTCAAGCCCATGATTCTCGTCATTATTATCTAAGATCCCCCATGACTTTTTGCTCGCAGTGACTCCTAATCATATCTTTATTTCATGAGTTACAAAAATCGTTAGACGTCTCTTCTCAACCAGTTCGAAGATTGGGGTTCCTGGCATGTGTCGAGACACCTAGGTTCTTTGTGAGAGATGCAAGATTCAATTGTTTTAATTTTGACGTACAGGAGGATATCAAAGGAAAGCGACTCCTTTTTTGAGCTTTGTCGATAGCACAATTGTCGAACTTACATCATTGACGTACATCCTCGACAATGTTTCAAGCATTCTTTATATCGAAAGGTTTAAACGAATCATAGACGTGATCTTTTGAATTGCTAATCCGTAGGACACAGATCATTCCTCCATCAAACCCAAACACCCTAGATACTACCTTGTTATGATTAGACTAGAGGGTACCACTTTTGTTTCATAGTGGTTACATAGTTGAACCGATACTAAGCTCTCCAAAATAACGAGGTAATCAATGGTTAGATATTTGCATCTCTTTCCTCAAGTTGGCCACTTCCAAATTCTTATCCCTCCACCTCTTCACTTAGTCACTCTGCCTCTTCGCAACATCTGTTTTTCCTCCCTATATATACCGCCATTACAACACTCCACAACCACCATCTCTGCCATCAATCTCCCTCTTACTTCCCTTCTGCAATTCCCACTTCCCAACTCCCCCTTCTTCCATAACAAGAGTTCCGAAATTGGAAAGTGAGAAGAATCATAATGGGCATGGGAATGAACAACCCTCTGCAGCTCAAATCGCTGAATCACATCTCCCTCGTCTGTCGCTCCGTCGAGAAATCCCTCGATTTCTACCAGCACGTCCTTGGCTTCTTCCCCATCCGCCGCCCTGGATCCTTCGACTTCGACGGCGCCTGGTACTTCAAACTTTTCCCCCCAATTTGAGACTTTGGAAGAAGAAAAAACAGAGGGCTCTGTTTTGATTTTGGGTCTCTGTTTTTCTGCAGGCTGTTCGGTTACGGAATCGGAATCCATTTGCTTCAGTCCGAAGACCCAGAAAGCATGCCGAAGATCAGCGAAATCAACCCTAAAGACAACCACATCTCCTTCCAAGTTCGTCATCCCCTTCCCCCAAAATTTTCAATTCGACATTTCCATCAAGAAATTGTAAAAAACAGAGGCTAATTGATTTTCGGGTTTTTTCTAAATTTGTGCAGTGCGAGAGCATGGTGATGGTGGAGAAGAAGCTGAAGGATATGGAGATCGAGTACGTGAAAGGCAGGGTAGAGGAAGGAGGAATCTACGTCGATCAGATATTCTTCCACGACCCAAATGGCTCCATGATTGAAATCTGTAACTGCGATAATCTCCCTGTAGTCCCGCTAGCAGGAGACGCCATTCGTTCGTGTTCTCTCATCAACTGCACCATCCAGCAGCAGCAGCAGGAACAGAGCTTGCTGAACCAGCTCTGCAAATGAACATTCGATTCAACCCTCTCTCTGCTCAATGATGTATATGTAATGTAATTTCTGTTGTAGAATTGTAAGAATTTGTCCCATGTCTGTCCTCTGTTGACAAGCAGCTGGGGGAGGTAGGGAAGGAATTCGATAACCCATCGAAGCTTTTCCCCCACCATTAAAGCTGATGGGATGATACAGGCAGATTCCGGGGTTCAAATTGAATAATTGTATCGATTGGACTTTTGGGTAGTTGAGATGATGAGCCATTAATCGAATCCTGGACGAAAAGATTTCATCTTTACTAAGCAGAAGGTACGAGAAGCAGGGGAGGAGAGGTGGGAAAGACAATAATTGAGAGAGAGCTTCATTTGTCGTATTTTGAGTTTGAGCTTCATGTTTGTCCTACGCAATTCGTCGAACACTTGGTGGGAGGGTCCTACTTTGCTACTACTATACTCCATTACGTACCTTCCATCTCTACGTCTGTGCTTTTCTTGGCCAGTTGCGGAAACCTGCTGCCGTAATTCAATTCGCTATCATCCCAACGATGGAGAGATGCAGAGTGCCGTGTCATCGTGACTAGACTTGATTAACCCTAAAGCCACCACTCCATTGATAGTTACAATCGCCGGAGAGCCATTATCGATCTGGTTAAGGAAGAACATATGATAGTAGTGCTCGAACTCGTGACCGTTTGATCACGAGTTTGGCTGCCTTGCCGAAGGAAGCGGCATTCTAGAGTTTCGACAAGGCAGTCTAGATGTTAGAGTACTGATAAGAGCGAGTGTGACATACAAATTACCCATTAAAAGATTAATTGATTGGTTTTGGTTGATGATGCATATTTATGTTGTTTGTTGCTGGTTTTGAACTTTGAACCTCTAGATGGAAATGGCATCAACATCCCATCAAGTTTTGGAGAACACTAGTCAGATAGCTAATTTGTTAACATGTGTCCAATTTCTGTTTTATTAACTAGACACGAAATTTGTCATACTTCCATAAACAGAAATCGAGTATCCAACATAAATTTATGTTTGGTTTATGGCAAACAGGTATCCACTATTGTGTTCCAGTTCTGTGCCAACATTCATGAAGATGAAGTGAGTTACAACCGGTCTAAACTTTTTCTTTATCCAAGATAAGCTCAAATAGCATGGTTGGGCAACACAATAACAAGACTAACAAGAACCATAAGCGATAATTCGAGTGCAATCGAACTACCAATGAAAGAGTATTGTTTGTCATATAAGTGGGCAACGCTATGAAGTGAGTTTCAACTTGCCTACACTTCATAAATGCACTTAATGACAAATATGTAATCATTGTCCATGTAATAACTAAGTGCAAAAGGACCATTGTTTATCAATACTCTATTAATAATGGTTTGCAAGCAACATAAAAGATTGTTATCCTTGGGCGTCTTACACGTATTGAATCACAAAGAGAAAGTGTAAAGATGTGCTAGTGGCATACTTAAATGTACATCCATGATTAAACAATGAAATTTTGGAATGGTGTAAAAGATACTAAGAAACTGTTCTGAAAATAGAAAAAAATGATACCAAGGCAAGACAAAATATATATAGTAGTTCTCACCACCAAAAAAAAAAATTATTTATATAGTGGAATCTCTATGCACGGTTGAGTGGTTGAGTAAAGTGCACTAAAACAATTGGGTAAGTGAATTGAGTTGAAGGCAGACATAGTTAGAGTGGGTTTCGTTAGTGATCAAGCTTTTTAAACCTTTTAATTTGTTGTGTCATTACTCTTGAGATTGCGGAAATCAAGAAATAGAGTAGGGGGGAAATAAAAAATTAATATAGTTTTTAGGGTTGAATCAAGGTTTTGGAGAGGAGCTGATGCAGAATAGCTTATATCTAGTATGTTTTCTCTCGCGACGGTGTTTCTGTGCATTGAGAAATATTAGAATTCGATAAAATAAGAAAACGAAAATAAGAATAAATACAACATACGATTTACGTGGTTCACTAATTAATGTGTGCTAGCTAGTGCACGGGCAAGACAGAGTCAGTTTTACTATACTTCGAGGAGATACAAATTACAGAGAAGTATGAACATTATTTAAAATACTTCTCCAATGTTTGCCGTCAGTTTTCATATTAAGTATTGAGAGTAGAGGTGTTATAATCGTCCTTTCTGGACTTCATGTAGTTTCTTCTTAACTATATGTAGATCCAACACTATTTTGAGATGTAATGATTTATTAAGCTTAATCTTAGGTGTCATAAGCCAGTGTCTAGGAGTTAACATTGGTCCAATATGATTTGAATTGGAATAATTTGGTAGTTGGTGAATTCGAAAATAGAGAGTGAAGGAGTTATTTTAATGAAGTGGTTCTTCATAAGTGGCATTAGAACCCTTATAAGTTATAATGCTGAGGGATCTCATGTTAATTTGAATCTCTAACATGCTCATATGATTGAAGCGGTTATTGTTGTTAAACACTCACGATCAAAGGTGCATAAGAATAAAGGACACGAGATTTTTAACGTGGTTCGGCCTCTCAGAGAGACGTTACATCCACGGTGGTTATCGTCTACTTATTATTCATCTGCTACAAGCCGAAACTTAGGCTTTTATAGCTAACACTCACGCAAACCCTAACCACATAGGCTGCATGGTAAATATCATGTTTAGTCCATACAAAACTACTATTTACAATAGGACTCGAAACATGTACATATTTCAACACTCCCCCTCAAACTGATGTCGCACCATCAGTTTGTGTGACTGAAACCAGTGTCAACTCGTGGAGACCGCCTTCGTCAAGATATTTGCCGGCTGATCATCGGTAACCAAGTACTGCAACTGAAGCCAACCATCTGTCACAAGTTGCCTAATATAGTGTACATGAACTTCAATGTGCTCCGTGCGTTCATGAAGAACCGGATTTGTAGCAATATTAATAGCACTCACATTATCGGCGTACAACCTGACTGGTAGAGTACACACAATCCCAACTCTTCAAGCAAACGATGCAACCATACAAGCTCGGAAATCACCTCAGACATCCAACGATATTCGGCTTCTGTAGATGACTTAGCAACACGATCTTGCTTCTTGCACTGCCAAGAGATAACAGAGGAGCCGAGTTTCACTAGCCATCGAGATGTAGACCGACGAGTATGGAGACAACCTGCATAGTCGGCATCTGCATATGCTGTAAGAGACAAATCACCGGAAGAGGGAAAATAGATACCAACCTGCGCCGTGCCTTTCAGGTAACGAAGGATCCGATGAACAGCATCCATATGCAATGTACGAGGTGAAGACATAAACTGACTTACAACCTGAACAACATAGGCTATATCAGGCCTCGTCGAAGTCAGGTATATAAGACTCCGAACTATACTCCGATAGCGGGTGCTTTCTGTAGAAGAGAGACTCTCACCACTAGACTTTGAGAGCTTCAAGTGTTGTTCCATTGGAGTCATTGCTGGATTACAATCACAATACTGCGCCTCTTGTAGAAGATCCATAATGTACTTATGTTGATTCACAAAGAGACCATGAGAAGAACGTTGTATTTCCAATCCTAGGAAATACGAGAGATTACCCAGCTCCTTAAGCTTAAATGACTGATGTAAAAACTCTTTTTAATTCACGAATCCCATCTACATCACTACCTGTCACGATCATATCGTCGACATATATGAGAAGAACAACCAAACCATGAACAGTCTTGCGGATAAAAAGTGACAGATCTGTGTCACTCTGTGAAAAGCCAGTCTGCAGAATGGTATGATGAAACTTCTCAAACCATGCCCGTGGAGCCTGTTTCAGTCCATACATAGAGCGATTCAAAAGACAAACCATAAAATCATCTCCTTTATCATAACCCGGAGGACGCTCCATATAAATTGTTTCTTTCAAGTCACCATGCAAAAATGCATTTTTTACGTCCAGTTGAGATAATGATCAGCCCTTAAAAGCAGCCACACCTAAAAGGGTACGAACAGTTTGCATTTTGGCTACCGGTTGCAAACTTCTCGTACCGAATGTACCGCCTCTACCCAGAAAGTGGACGAAACCTGAGAGTGAATAAGAAGAGCTCGAGTGAGATCAAGGACATGACAATTTTTCCTTTCCACCAGTCCATTCTGCTGAGATACGCCAGGACACGATTGTTGAGCAATTATGCCATGATGCTTATAGAAATTCAGTAGCGGAGTAGATTTGAATTCTCCTCCAGGATCACTCGAATGGTTTTATCATACTGAGTACGAATGAGCTGGATGAACTCTTGAGCTATATTACATAACTCAGATTTCTGTTTCAGAAAGAATACCCATGTATATCGAGTTGCATGATCTATGAACAAAGCGAAGTACCGATAGCCCAGCCTCGAAGTAACGTGTGGTGGACCCCAAAGATTGGTGTGAAAAAAGTGAAAAGGTGTCGAATAAATAGTATCACTCGAACCAAAAGAGCTCTGTATAGTCTTAGCTTCAATGCAGCTAATACACGGATTCGAAGGAACATAAGCAGTATTCAAAACTCCAGGAAGCAATTTATTTCTAAACATAGTTTGCAGACGTGCAGTATTCGGGTGCTCCAAACGACAATGCCATAATTCCCAATCCAAAGGAGAAACAGAATAAACATTCAAATTCGACAATGAACTACTAGAACAATCAACAAATGAGTTCCTCTCTTCCATCTTGACAGCACATCCACGCCCCGGCCCGCTGTCCAACGTATTCAGAACGAAGGTGCGCCCACTCCGTCTCCCATTACCCACTGTCTTACCTGTGCTCCGATCCTGCACCAGACACCCATCGAAATAAAACACAACTCGACACCCACTCTCTGTCAATTGTCCCACAGAAACAAGGTTGGGAACAAGATCCGATACGTAGAGCGTGTCAGGGAGATGAAGATTCAAATCTTGCACAGTACCCATACCCGTGACAGGAATTTTAGAGCCATTAGCAACTTGCAATTGGAGAGTAGGACTAGGGCGCAGACCGATGAACTTATTACGCAGGCTAGACATATGGTTATATGCAGCAGAGTCGAGATACCAAGAAGAAGAATTACCTTAAGAGTTATGAGCGGCAAACACGGTATGGAGAGCAGAAGGGAGAACCTTCTGTAGAGTGGACTCCACTAGCTGCTCAAGAGTAGCAGTCATTAGGGAAGAAGTACCAGGTGCAGCGCCAAGAACTCCTGGGGAAAAGGCAGCAGGCTGTTCTCCATATGCTGGCGCAGGGGAGGGAGATGTTAACGACGCAGCAGGGGCAGGAGCTGCGGGCGCACTATACGCAGGGACAGAGGTGGAACGATAACTGCCAGCCTTGCTTCGTTTCGCCAACGTCGGACATTCAAAAACAATGTGTCCAGAAGTCTTACAGTAGTTGCAATAATTACGTTTCTTTCAATAAATCTGAACATGTCCCTTTTCCCGGCAGTAGTGACACTCAACATGAGGGGGAACAGGTTTCTGAAAATGGGGTTTACCCGAACGACCAACAACAAAGGCCGATTTGCCACCCGAGGGCGAATGGTTAAGATGATTCAGACTCCTCAAACGAGTCTCTTCACGGAGTAGTTTAGCCAAGGCTTCATCAAAAGAGGTCACATTACGATGTAGTAAAGAAGCGCGAAGGGGTTCAAAGTCTGAGTGTAGCTTCATAAGAAAATTCATCAAACGAGTACGTTGTCGTTCAGCAAGCATGGCAGGAGGAATCTCTCCTTTGGTAAGCGCTGTGATAGACCGATAATTCCACATGTTTTCACCCCTATTCTTGAGCCGTTTGAGAGGTTGACTCTCGTGTTTTAAGCCGATTTCACGCTAGGTTGTGCGTTTATGTCATGTTTCAGGACCCGGCGTTGGAATCGAGGCGAAGGAACGAGATTCGGGTCGAAAGGAGCAAGTGAGGCTTGAAGTGTGCTGGAGGAAGAAAATACCCGGCCATGACCAAAAATACCCGGCCAGGTATTATTCTGAGGAGGTCGGGTATTTGCTGTTTTGGCGTCTGAGAAACAGAGAGGGTCCCGGGCTGGAGGCACAAAATCCCCGACAGGGGATTATTGGATGAGACCGGGTATTTTTCCCTAGGCAAAACGCGCGTTTCAACTATACCCGGTCGAGACCCAAAATACCCGACCGGGTATTTCGACCGGGTATCGCAATAGGCAGCTGTTTTAAGGGAAAAGAAGGCTGAAAATCAAGGGATTCGAGTTTTGGAGAGAGAGAGCAATTCCTAGAGAGAGAAAGCGACGAACAAGAGTTCCCAAGTGCCATAGCTTGATCTTCATCACCATTGGAGCCCGGCTTGAGCTTGGAGAAGTGGCGATCAATGTCCAGGAGCTGAAATCCATTCTTCATAGTATGATTTCCGCGTCTGATTCTGCTTTTGCTTCTTTCTCCATGGAGTAGTTCTCCCATTCATCTGGGTATGGAGAACCCTAGATTTGTATGTTAGGTTTGATTGTATGAACCCAAGTACTGATTCTATGAGTTGATTATATTCGATTGAGGCTTGAATGATTGAATGACTTGAATCCTGATCAAATTCCTATTGTTTCTGCTTTAACCTAGAATGAGAATATCTGCCTAGGTTGATAGAGCATCCTTGATTGAAGGTAGGGAGTTGGTGACTTTAGTCGAGGAGCCAACTCACTATTCCGTACCGAATTCACTTCGGTAGTGGAGGTTTTGTTCGTAGGGCCTCAATCTGTTTACTCTGGTGGAGGTTAGTCGCCCGCTAGAGACTCAGATTGAGAGGGTCTGGAGACCTTTAGTCGAGACTTCAGATTGCTTAAGAACCTTCCGCAGTATAACTATCATAGAAACTGAACTTGGTAATTGCAATCCGACTTAACTGCAGTCTAGGGGGAACCATATCCGGGTGACCTCTCTTAACCTGAAAACAACAGTTTACTTGCTTTGTTCGTTTGTTAGTTTAGACTTGCATTAAAGTTTCATTGCTAGATAACAAGAATTCACCGAGTAGTCATCAAATCTAGGACCCGGGTTGACATTAAAACCCAAACCCGCTATACTACGCTTTAGGAAGTGGTTACACTTGGCCAATTCCTAGAGTGACAGTAGGAGTGAGTCACGCTGCAAACAACATATCCTCCTCGGTCCAGAGGTGAAGGGCAGCTTGATAATAAGCACGTATATCAGAATCTCTGAAGGAGTGCAAGGGCTTGAGATATCTCAAACTGTCGAGAAGCACTCTGTTGAGAATAAAGAGTACATAGATGAGTCCACATTGCATGTGCCGTAGAGAACGAACGCATGCCTTGATAAACCGTTAATTGCACATGTTTTTACCCCTATTCATGAGCCGTTTGAGATGTTGATTCTCGTGTTTTAGGCCGATTTCACGCTAGGTTGTGCTTGTTTGTGATATTTCAGGTCCTAGTACGTGAATGAAGGTTTGGGAGCGAGTTCGGGGTCGATTGGACGAAGATCAGACGTGTGGCGAGTCGATGAGGAAGCCACACGGGTACTCCTAAAACCCACACGGCCGTGTAAGGAACCAATGTGGCCGTGTGGGATTGTGCGAGACTTCACACGGGCAGACTGGAGGCTCTACACGACCGTGTGTCCCTGGCCGTGTAGGTAGCCTGAAGTCCAATTAATCAAAACTCGGCGTTTTGTCTCTTACACGGGCATCTGGGTAAGCCACACGGCCATGTGGCCTGCCCGTGTGAGTCGGGAATTCTGGTTTTAACCCAATTTCGAGCCACAAGTGAGGGAATCGACTTTTCAGAGCAAAAACAGAGCCCTAGAGAGAGAAAGTGCGAAGAACACATCCTAGAAGCGATCTTGGAGCTGGGTTTCATCAAATCGAGCTTGGAGATCATCATAGGAGTGGAAATCATCATCCCAGAGCAGATTCTTCCCATTGTTATGAGTATGACTGCTTTGTATTCTGTTTTTATCTCTCTCTCTCTCTCTCTCTATGGAATAGAACCCTTCTCTCACTTGGGTATGAAGAACCCTAGTTCCATGTGTTAGGGATTTGATTGTAATGACTTGGGATGATTATACTGTTTGGTTTTAATCGAATGATTGAAGTCTGATAAGCTTTTCTTGATTTCTGCTGCAACCCGAGATAGATAGAATCTGATTAGGTTGTTAGAGCCTCTTCATTCGGTAGTAATGGATTGGTTATACGAGAGTTAGCCAGTCTACTGCTTTGTACTGGTATCCAATTCCAGTAGTGGAGTTCTGTGCTTATTGCGTCAGCTTTCTATCCCGGTGAAGACTAGTCGTCTGCCGGGTAGTTAGACTAAAAGGGCTTGGTCAGTTTAAGAGATTCCAAGCTACTGTTGGATCTTCCGCAGTCTAATCAACAGTAAATCAACCCAGGGTAATTAAAACTGAGACCTAACTAAGGAGCTAGGGGGACTCATTCCTGAGTGACTCTTCCTTTGCTTGAGAAACCGAACCAATTCCTGCTTTCTTTCTGCTTTCAGTTAAGACCAAAATCAATCGACTTAGTTTGCTAGATAATAGATAATCACGGAGTAGGCAGTAGATCTAGACCCCGGGTTGATATTTAGAACTTGCCACTTTACTGCATTCCCGGACTGCGATTACACTTGGTAGCAGTTTGGTGTTGTGTTTTGGCGTATCAAGTTTTTGGCGCCGTTGCCGGGGAACCTCTAGGTTATTGGAGAAAAGTTAAAATTTGTTACTCTAGCTTTTTCTTTACTGCATTTTCTCTCTTCCACCTGTGTGCCTTCACGGGTTTGTTTCTGCTGATTGTGTGCAGGTAGTGCATGACCCGTAGCCAGTCGGGAGTTCTACTACCATTAAACCAGGAGCTTGAACGAACTTGCGGGAACTTCAAGCGGGCTCTAAAGGAGCGACTGGCTGCGGAGGAGGAGCTAGCACAGCTGCAAATCACCGAAGAAGAAGAGATGGGTGATCCACAGGACCATGATGTGGTCCTTCCCGAGGAGCAGACCATGGGATATTACTGGACCGCCAGTGCCGCGGACATGATGTCGCCCATTCAACACCCTCATGTGCCAGCAAATAACTTTGAGATGAGCACCTCTGTCATCACAATGCTGCGCGGTTTGATGGTGTTCCGTGGCAAAGAGGGGGAGTGCCCCCGATCACATCTCAAGCGATTCCACGAGCTCATCGATGGAATCAAGATAAATGGGGTCCCAGCAGATGCCATCCAGCTGAGGTACTTCCCGTTTACTCTGGAGGGGCAGGCCAAGGAGTGGCTAGACACTCGGCCTCCAGGCTCTATCACTACGTTCGCTAACCTGGCGGACAAGTTCCTCACCCGCTACCATCCTCCGTCCATGACGGCGGACCTGCAGAAGCAGATTACCCATTTTGCTCAGGATGAAGACGAGACCATCCGGGACGCTTGGGAGAGATACACCAGTCTCTTCCTCAAGTGTCCCAACCATGGTTTTACCGATGCCTTCAAGGTGGGAACCTTCTACCATGCCCTCTTCCCGGAGGACAAGCAGCTGATTGATTCGGTCTGTGGCGGGAATATGCTCACCAAAACACCGCCCCAGCTGAATCAACTTTTTGAGGAGATGGCAGAGCAGGGATATGACTGGGGAACTGCGAGGAGATCGAGACGAGCACCTGGACGGGGTGTGCATGCTGTATCCACCCAGTCATCTGTATTGGTGCAGGTGGTATCAAAGCTGGTTTAGCCATCGATCGTTCCGGGATGATTGCAGGTACCGGACAGCAGCAGGCGATGCTCTGCCAATGGTGTGAGAGTTCTCATCACACCGTGGAGGATTGCCAGGCGATGAGGGAGTCTTCTACTCCCCAGGAGCAGCTGGACTTCATCGGCAATGCCAGGCGCTTCGACCCCTACAACAACACTTACAACGAGGGGTGGCGCCAGCCAGTGCAGTCAAAATCGCGCTTTAAAGCGTAAAATCGTACGATTTTACGTTTCTAGGGTAGGAAAACGTTTCAAATCACCAATAAAATCGTTTGTTACTCAAAATCGGTCAAAAGCGTAGTAAAATCGGTAAAATCGGTAGAAACGGTTAAAAACACGTTTTTATACCGCTTTTGTACGATTCCAAGCAAAGGAACAAAACAGTCTCCTTTCATCAAAACGATGTCGTTTTTGAATTTTGATTTAAAAAAAAAAAATTTGGGGCTGCCAAAAGGGAGAAGGGGTTACGCTGGCTGAACCCTAATTTCATCTATCTCCATTCTCCAGCGCCGCACCACCCACCCTTCTCCTCATCTCCCTCGGTGCCCTTCGTCGGTCGTCAGTCGCCACCTCCCTCGGCCGCCGCCTGTTGCCATCGACCGCCGCCCGTCGCCTCACTCGGTCGCCGCCAGTTGCCATCGACCGCCGCCAGTTGCCATCGACCGCCGCCCGTGGACATCGGCCGCCGCCCGTCGCCCTCGTCAATCGCCTGTCTCCCTCAGCAGCCGCCCGTAGCTCGTCGTCGTCCACTCGTCCGTCGGAAGTCCACAGCGCCCCGTCGCCCGGCGCCGCCCTGTCCATAGCTCGTCGTCTTCACCCGCCGGTTGTCGCTCTTCACAGTCAAAGGTTTTTCTCTTTTCTCGTTATTCAATTTGCAATCTAAAATGGAATCTTTCCTCTTTCTCAGTTGCTCACTTCCTTCCAGTTATCTATGCCTAGCTCAATTGCCATTGATGAAAACGACATTACACTAGTAGATGATAACACAATTCAATTTAGTTAAAACTTCCAAAGGCATCCTGTAATTAAGCACTACATTTGCTTCCTAATGTCACATACAACATGGGGTATCATGACATCCTTTTCTTTGGTTTCAATTGCAATGGCTTCAACGTTCTTTGCCTGTGACATTGGGATCTCTTAATGGCAATAAGGGTTCCTTGATGACAATGTTTTCTTCTGAGAAGTGGAGGAAGAGTAGCTTTTCTAAGCTTCGTGAAGGAAAAAGAGTTCAAGGATTTGTACTTGATGGTAGATTTTGGAAAAATGTGACAAATTGTCTTAGAGCTGCTCAACCTATTGTCAAGATTCTACGTTTGGTTGATTCTGATGAAAAACCGGCAATGCCCTTCTTATACTCTGAAATTATCCAAGCGAAGGAGAAGATTAAAAGCAACTTCAACAATGTGGAAAGAAGGTGATTTCGAGTTTCCTTTTCCTATTAACTTATCATACAAACCTATATTTTTATTGTTCTAACTTCTAACTTCTAATTTGTTTATTCTCTATTGTATATACTTTATATAGATACAAGCCTGTCTTGAAAGTCATTGACAAAAGGTGGGAAGATCAAATGAGTAGACCAATTCACTATGCTGCATATTGGTTGAATCCTCAAATTCACCATTCTCAAGGATTTAACCATAATGATCCAAAGGTGAAAATGGGATTGTATGAGTGCATATCTAGACTTGCAAAGAATGATGAAGAGAAGTTTTTGATAATGGAGCAGTTGTCTGTATTTCGTCATGCTCGTGGAATGTTTGATAAGTATGGTGCAATGCAATTAAAGGATAGGCAACATCCAGCTGATTGGTGGACCGGATTTGGAGATGAAGTGCCAGAGCTTCAAAAATTTGCTCTTCGGGTGTTGAGTTTGACTTGTAGTGCTTCTGGGTGCGAGCGTAATTGGAGTGCATTTGAGAGGGTAAGTAATAAATTGCCTCTATTTTCTTTTCATCATATCGTTCATTCTTTTTACATGTGAATATGTGGTGATGTGAACTCTTTTACTTGTAGATTCATACTAAGAAAAAGAACAATTTGCGTGCACAAAAAATGAATGA